TGAGGACAGGAGTGAGACAAGGCTGCCTACTATCACCAATGATCTTCCTGATTGCAGTAGATTGGATAATGCGACAGACAATGGCCGGGAAGCAGGAAACAGGCATAAAATGGACTCACACAAAAAACAACTTGGAGGATCTGGACTTCGCCAATGATATGTGTCTGATTTCCCACAAACTGGAAGATATGCAAGTGAAACGCAACAAGTTGGTCATAGAAGAAGCATCAAAGATGGGACTTCAGATGAACATAGAAAACAGAGACAGGTGATGAAGATTCCTGGCCAACATCCACAACAACAGCAAAAACAACAGACAACAATCAGCCAGCATAAATGGGAGGAACCTGAAAGAAACAACCTCCTTCACCTACCCACCTACCTGGGAAGCATCGTTTCAACTACAGGTGGGGGGAACTGACGAGGATATCAAAGCGAGGATCATCGGAAAAGCAAGACAAGCTTTCATTACTCTCAAGTCTTTGTGGAGGTCAATAGCCCCACTCAGCATCAAAAATAACATCCGGATTTTCAACTTCAATGTAAAGTCAGTCAGTGCTACTATACGGATCAGAGACTTGGCGAATCATAAATAGCACCTCAAACAAACTTCAAATATTCATCAACAGTTGTCTTCGCTCAATACTCAAGATCAGATGGCCGGCCAGAAAAGATCAGCAACAGGGATCTCTGGCAATGAGCGAACCAACAAAGCAGGAACCGATTGTGAAACAAATAGGCAGGAAGAAGTGGAGATGGATTGGTTGGCCATACCCTGAAGAAACCATCAAGTGACATCACTAGACAAGCCATCACTAGAGTAGAACCCGAAAGGGAAGCGGTGAGTTTGTCGTCCAAGGGTGACGGGGGAGGTGATGTGAAGAGGAGATGAAAACATGTGGGCAGACTTGGAGTTTGCAGATAACCGAAGGGAATGGAGACGTTTGGCTGAAGTCCTATGTTCCTCTAGGAATTAAAGGATATAATAATATAATATAATAATTATTCTGTCGCATAATAAAAACTTGTTACTTATACCGCGTAAAACATAGAAGGAATATCTAGAATCGCTGATACAATAAAGTTTCTTAAAGCAACATTATAGTGTCATAAAATCAAACGATAAAACTTAAAAGATAGATAAATGTGTGGTGTAGGTGGGTAGGTGGTTGGTTGATATTGACAGGAACGCTAAAACAAAGGAACAACAGCCTCAAAACAAGTTTTATAAGTGCATATTTTCTCTGAGAAAATCTGTTCAGGTGTTCAGTCGGCAATTTGTTTATTTTTTTTTTTATCAGTTAACTTTAAGTAATTTATTGTCATTAATTCAATTATTATTGTCAGTTTAATTTACCAACAAAAAAACTAAGGATAATTAGGAATGATTCTCAAAAAAGGGGTTTATAGGAATTTGATTTGTTCACTTAAAAAATCACTGAGAAGCTGTTTCGTCCTAGTTTGGTACTCGTCATCCGGGTTAGAAAGCAGAACCTTCCGTATACAAGCCAAGCGCATAAACCATTAAGTCACTTGGACTTGTCCCAGTAGAGCAGCCAATTTATTCTAACTTCCACCAATTGGTAATTTTGTTGCGACTACCAGCTGATATTATCAGCGAGTATCGCTTCAGACAACTTCTTTCTGTAGCCAGTCCCTAGGGTGGATCAGAATAGTTCTGAAGAGTCTGATTTTGCCTGGATTTGGAATTCATGGACCATTGAGTTGGAGTTTTAGCTTGACTTGTAACTAGAAGATCCTGGGTTTGGACCATGATGGTGAATTAGTACTTATGACGAGTCCCGAAATAGGACGAAACAGCTGTCCATCACACCTTGGTGGTTTCCAGTGTTTCTGGAACTAATATTAATCCATGGGAAAACTTGAAAAAAACTGTGAATGAAGTAGGGGGTTGAATGCGTTTTAAAAAACACCTTGAATTTTGCCCAAATGTGATAATAAAGCTTTAGAAATATTAACGTCTGTGTGTCATTTGTCAGTTCCTTTTTCTATTTTGTCCACTACTATTTTGTACAGTGAAATGCCTAAACCGCTTAGTACATAAACGTCCTATAACATATCTTAGGAGAGACAGTAATACAACGACTACAGACACAAAGGGATAGTAGAGAACGGAGGAAGTGTTTCCACACACACACACACACACACACACCTCCAAAAGAGACGAATGAATCCAACTTGAAAGAGAAGAAAAACACTAACAGTAGAAATAAACATAATTTTATGAAAAAAAAATTATTTCTTATTGTATCAAACCATGTATTGTTGATGTGTCGTCATAGCTGAACAGAACTGAACCATGTGATTTTCCCTTTTTTGGTTGTTGTGGTATTTTTATACCAAAATAATTCAGTCTCACTTCAAAAGAACATGAACAGTGTTCAGTAAAAAAAATTCAAGTTAAAAGTAATAATATTATCAAGACGCCTGTTCGAGTCGTTTAACTGTCTACATCAGCCTTATTATTTCATTTCAGAAATGAGGAAAGTGTAAATCTGAAGTCCGATAACCATTTGACATCAGTTAGAGAAGCAGTGGAAACCACAAGGCAGTGCTGAATAGCTGTTTCGTCCGGCCCCAGTTTGGGACTCTTCAACGGTACTGCCTATTGGAGTCCGAACCATAACCTTCCGAGTATAAATCGAATTCGTGGATCAATCGGCCAATGTGACTTGATCCAATGGTTCATAAATCCAAAATCTGGCTAATTCACGATATATAGTGCAAACCCCAGCCAACTTCATGGGTGATCTGATCTCTTATCTGACTTGGCAGAAACTGCTGGTTGCAATTTTTCAATAGAACTCAAGGGACTTCCTTTTGTGCTCGAGTTACAAATATATTTTTGAACTGTCAGAAGTTGGTGTAAGATCAGTTCAATTCCCATCCTTGAATCAAGTCAACCTGTCCTGGATCAGCCTAGCGTTGTTGCAACCCAATTATCCATGTCTAACGTGTTTATCCCCCTTGTTTAATGAACTGTGTGTGTTTTTAAATCGATCCGTTTAGTCAGATAGTTGAACTCATGACCCAATCAGAGTATTTTGTGAACTGTTATTTTTGCTGACCCATGTCTTACTTTGTACTATTCTGTCGAGTTTCTCTTATTTATTGATTTTCATCTGTATCAGCCTACCTGGCTAAGTAGCCAATTAAATTCTATCTTTTGCATATGCTCTGTCTATCTCTTAACCGCTCTCTGTTCTATGCCCTGCCTTACTTGGGTTCATTCTTCTACTAAGTGCTTACCTGAACAGTCTTGTCTGATTCCGGCTAGTTCGCAATTTCGGCTTTAACGTTATTCCGCTCTGATAGCGGTACCTTGCTTTCTGTTAAGCGTTGTGATTTGTACTCTTGAAACCGTTAAGTACTGTAAGCGCAATATCGCTTGGAATTAAGTCACGCTTAGAAACAGTGACCGGTTTCTTGTTTGTTCTGGACCGGGATAGCCTTTATCTACGCGTGACTTAATTTCAAGCGATATTGCGCTTACAGTTGGTATTCATGAGCAAATGGATCGAGTCCCAGTTGCCGAATATTCTACAAGCTCACTTTGTTACCAGGAAGTCCCGGGTTTGAACCTTGATAATAAGTGCGAACTAATGAAGAGTCCCGAACTAGGATAAAACATTTATCCTTCCAGCACTCTCTGGTTGTTTCTAGTGGTTCTCCAACTGATACCGGCTTGTGATTAAATTGGTTGTCAGTTAAATACCTGAGATTTAGCACATGAAATCAGAATTTTCGTAAAGTCAGTGTTAAATCTCACCTGTTTCATGAGATACGATATTAGCCTTAAAGCGTTTAAACTATGGACGCTCAGTCTTAGCCTTAAGGCCTAAAATGCTACTATTTGGAACTCAGGTATATCTCGGTGATGAGTTTCAAGCAGGCAGAAGCTTGAGTCCTTGATTCCACTGCTGGCCGTTAGCAAGGTGTCATTAAATTAGCATGTAACCAACTGGACAAGCGACAGTTTTACTGTAAGCAGTACAGCTGAAAAAATTAAGAAAACATGGAACATTTCCCTCTGTTTCCCAAAAGGTATATATGTATTCAACTCGGGGATCAACAGGTTTTCAGGTCAACAGTCCACATATCCATAAATCACCACTATCTGAGCAAATTGTAATTTTGATAATAGGATTTCACAACCACTTATCTAACAGCTATCCTCCATTATTCCTATAATAGTCAATTCTTTTAGGTTTCAAATGGAGCATAAAGTTTCCATATAGAGCTTTTACGTTTCGGTACCAACTGTTTTATTTTTACGGAGTAGGCTTGCTAGCCTCACGCTTAACCTTTTCTCCTTACCGGTCTAACTACTGGTTTAGCGAGGCTTGGAAGTTTGTTACCTAGGGATCGAACTATGGACCACATTCACTGTTGGTGAGCATTCCACCACTGAACCACTGAAGAAAAAGAGGAGGGTCGTTAGGCGAGCTCGTATACCATTCAACCACCAGGATGTCTACAATTACACCAGCTATAAATAAGCTGTAAAACTCTTCAACAAGGAATTTTTATATCAATTTCTCATGGGTCCAGACGATAATAACGACAATAGTGTTTGGGTACTTTGTGCCAGGTTAGGACTAGTGAAGGGTGTGTTTTCATGACCCTACCAGAGACCTACCCCAGTCAGACATATCTATTATTGATTCAGTGGATTGTAATCCTATAGTCTGTGAATTTCAAGTGATTAGTATGGTCATTCTGGAGTGTGAAGTTCCTGAGTTCGACCTAAAGTTGTATAGGGGTTTCACACCACTGAAAACTCCTGGATTACGAGGACACAGCTGTTGTTCACTATTCACTGTTTATCGATATCTCACTGATTTATAACAGTTAAGTCTAAGCACTACTAAGCAATAACAAAACTTCTTTTGCAAATGAAACTGTAGCTGCATCAAGTGTGTAAAATTAATTAAGACAACAAGTCAAATATAAGCATAGATATTACGTAATAAACTTACACTTTGCAATTTAGTCTTTCTTGGAGATTCAGTCATTCCATCATGATTGAATTTTTTTATTTGACGATCAGTATTATCAGCATTCTTTTTTGCTTCAGACTTTAAAAAGCTGGTTTCATGTTCTCCTTCGTTTGTATCCATCAGAGTAGTTATGTAATAAATTGATTATTATTTATTGTAATTATGATTAATGAACAATGACGTCAGCAGAACTGAGATAAAAAGAAAATAGAGATGAGAAAATAAATAGGTAAGTGAAATTAGTGTTTTATTGTCAAAGTAATAGGTTAAAGCTTTTCTATCATTACTCCTCAGTGTGCGTCACAGCAATACTATTCACCGAAAGGAAACGAATTCCTATTAAAACTGCCCTCTGATGAATAGGAATTAAATCTTAGAGTTCCAGCGAACATCAAATTACTGGTCTATCACACCTTATGTTCAAATAGCCGTTACTTTTTCCGCATATACAATGAGCTTACAAGTAGACAGCATGTCACAAAAAACCATAGAAGGGTAAAATAGGAGAGTGATAGATTTGCCGTGAGCTCCATTTTGTTCCACCTAGTTGATGATGGTCACTTGGTGAAAGATTATCTTTCGATACTGATCTTCCTGAACTGTGGGTTCATGGATGCTTTACACAGACATCATACTTCTCATATACAAATTCTATCACTTATTGTCAACCATTTCATGACCTTATTATTTCTCATTTTACAGCCTCTCATCTGATATGTCTTTTCAAACATTTACCTTCACAACCACACAATTGTCACCCGCCTTAGACTAATATACTTTGTCTTTATTTACAAAGTTGATGATACGTCGGTCGGGAATCTAAGCCGGACCATTTGAGTGGCTGGCGAGCCTTCTGCCAGTGACACAAAATTATGTACCTCGTGAACTACGACTTCTATCTGTTAGATGATTGTACGAAATCAGCAACTGATCCTAAACCTGAGTTTTTCGTACCTTTTGAAACTCGTCATTACGGCTTATCCGTGGCATGTAGGGCAGTGATATCTATCAGTATGATGACTAGATGTACGAGACTGCTCGCTCATCAGTGATTAGTCACTATTTCCTACCTGCTTATGATAATATTTAGAAAAATGACTATTCAGAAAATGGAGATTATCTGAAAAATGTGATGTATTTGCGTGATACATTTCGAACAATCTGATCACACACTTACTTGTCAAGTCAGTATATATATATGAAAATGTTAAATTAAACAAAGTGACAAAAAAGGATTCAAGAATGATTAACACAACGTTTGGTAATCCAATCAAATAAGAATTATCAAGGTATGTTAAGAGTAATAATAAACCGTTTTTGAATACACAGGGTGGGTGGGGGGGCTAAAGTTTATGGATAGCTATAACCTCGGCGTATTTCAATAAGCACCCTTGACTGTTTTTATAGATGACCTAAAGGCTGAGTTAACTTCAAGTCTTATGGTTCATCTCGATTAGTTGGTAGTCTGACACCTGCATCTATTGGTTTTTCATGCTTCATTTGTTTTTCTAGCCATTTTGGGATATGCTCTTCCGCCCTCACATGCAAAGCGCGATTACTCCTCCCAATGTATGTGTGACCACACACACACACGAAAACTGGTAAATAGTTTGGGATGTGACATAATTCCTTGTGCACTTTTAAGGTTTCCAGTGGAGCATATTTTTAGCCTTTTTGACAATTACAAGCTGGGCTGCATACTAGGTTCTACGGATGATCGAATTCAAACTTTGTCTCAAAATCCTAATGTTTATTTCCCCATTATATGGTAATTTGATGAAAACATTTTTCTTAGGGGCAATATGAAGTGTAGATTTGGTTAGTAATTGACTTCTACACCTGTTTAACCTAACTTCAATGAAGTACTTAGTGAAGTTATGGCTGAACATACTGCTAAGCCTGATAATAATAAGTTCACCATAAAATATCAAAATCTAGGGAACACCAGACAAATATATCAATATTATTGTATACACAAAAAGAATGAATATGATTTAAACTATAGTGATAGGTGCAACTGAGCTCAGTCAGTTGAATTAAGTAGTGGAATGATGGATTTAAAGACAGCCACATTGAACCAGTTTATTTCTTCCATGGCCACCTTCAGGTATGTAGAACATTTCTCCTCAACTGATAAGTGTGTGTCGGAGGCTCAAAGACAGACTGCTAACTAGCCACAAAGGTGTTTCTGATTCAATTCTTGGCAGATGTGTCTGACAGTAGGTTCGGAGAAAAAAGAGGAGAAATTAAGCATGATACGGGTGTAACCCCACCCAGTAGAAATAACACGATGACTACTGAAACTTCAAAAGTGAAATCTTGAAGCCGAATGTTCCACTTGGAACTCAGTAAAATTGTGAAGATAACGTCTCTTTTTTATTCCTTTGCTTTCTGAGGGGAACGTAGGGCTTCAAGGTACAGCTAGTAGTGGTTTTATAGTTTTATGACTTGGGGTTGCTAGCCTCATTGCCCAACTTTCCATCTTTGCTGGTATTACTACAGGCTTAATGAAGTTCAGGAATGCGTTAGCTGGGGATCAAACCCCGAACCACCTGCACAGTTATGAGCATTCTACCACTGAACCACCGACGTACATGGTAATAGTGGTTAATTTATTTATAGGCTCTGCGACGAAAGAACATTTGGTCAAAATTTCATTTTCCTAATAATGTACCCTATCTATGGATAATTAGATAATAAATTTTCCATAACTTATAACAAAATTTCACATGTAGATATAGGAAATGTTGAGTATCGATATTTGATGCCATAATAGAGCATTGAAATTCATCAACACTATGTGTATACGAATACGAAAAGACTCGATGTCAGAATAATAAGATTAACAGCAGAAGAAGACAACGACTTAGCCACTGTGCTGAGAACTGAAGACCTCTCATTTCTCACCTCTATTGCTTACTGATATATATAGTTATCAAATACAGACAACAAGCAGTATCCATATTTTACGCAATCAATTCAGTAAACTTTATATTTCAAAAATCCTCATTGAGTCATATGAAAAAGAGAAGATGTTCAGCGAAGAGACTCTTTTGTCTTCTCAGTTATAATATTTTACATTTTTAACTTTCTTGTTCTCTACCCCCACCCGATTTAATTTCTACACCTCAATACCACTGTAACTGACTTGACCAACACTCAATTTCTAGTCATTTATGTTAAGTCATCCAACTTATTTGCTCAGTTTCAGTTTAAATTTAAATGGCCCCACTTCTACTTAGTCTCTACCTGTAATTACCTCTGTTGCTACCCTGACCTAAGTTGAAACGTTTTAGTCAATTATATTACGTCATCTAACCTACTGATTAACTCAATCTTACTTTAGTTGCTATCTGGTTAACCTTGTTTCTATATTAGATCATTCTTGTATTACCTGATCAATTATCTAAACTTGACAAACTTCATGTACACACATGAAGAAACAAATAGGCAGGAAGAAATGGAGATGGATTGGCTATACACTGAAGAAACCATCAAGTGACATCACTAGACAAACCATTGCTCGAGTGGAACCCGAAAGGGAAGTGGCGAGTTGGTCGTCAGTGCTAGGGTGACTTGGAGGATGTCATGTGAAGGAAGAGGAGATGAAAGTATGTGAGTTGACATGGAGTGGGGTGAAAAAGTTGGCAGAAAACGGAAGGCAATGGAGACGCTTGGCTGAAGCCCTATGTTCCTCTAGGAATTAAAGGATATAATAATAATAATCATGTTTACACACAAATAATTATATATGAATGCGACTGTACAGCTATGTGAATGTTACATTCATCCTGAAGCTGTTTCTTCATGATGAGTTGGTTGATAGCTAAAATTTTATATATAGTTTGTGATAATTTCATCCCATTCGAAGTCATATGAGTTTTTATGTAATCTAGATAGTATGTAGTTTTGGCTAGGTAAGTAAGCTGTACTTTTTTGCATGATAAATGTTTTGTCTCAAATTAATTGAATTATAAAATGTATGATTTATGTGGGTTTTAATCACTTCTGAATCTAATTTCAGAAAAGATCTCTACATAAACAGATAGTTGTACAACTAACAGACTGAATGGCAATCAAGTTAATTGTAACTTCACTTCCTCTTTTTACTTCATGATTAAACTCGTGGTAAGGAAGAGATGATAAACTTATTTTATTTTCGCTTTAATCATAGATTAATATTGGTTAGAGAAGTATTACAAATCACGGAGAAGTGGACACCTAATCCGTCGAAGTTTGAAACTCTTCAGTAGGATGCATGCACGACTCTGGGGTTACTAGGTCAAGTTTGTTGGTCGCTCATCCAATAGCCCATGAATTCTAACTTCCGTCAATTCGTCAAGTGAAGATACTGGCTGATACAAATGGCTGGCGGTTGCTCCAGAATGGCTAAATGAGCCTAAGTAGTTCAGTAGTCAAGAAGTGTGGCCTGGTTACTTTAAGGTCTCGCGACGGATCCCTGGTGAGGTCTAATGTGTGTTTCGTTGGAGAGTCCCAGTCTAGGACGACACAGCTTTCAGGTAGTCAGTGGTTTTCACTGTTTCTCTAAATGATGTCATTTCATAATCGCACTTGAAACAAATCAGGTCCCTGCAAACTAAATCTTGAAGATGTATTTTGAATAAAAAGAACACAATGGCTACAGCCAAAACTCGACTTAATCATCGTAGACTTTCTGTTATAGAGGGTAAAATCATCTGCAGAATAGTAAAGACTGGTGTTTTATCAGCCTATTGCTTTGAATTTCACACTCGAAATTTCTCCAACACACCACAGGCAAGATGGCCGTCCTACATGTCTCCATAATAACAGTAAAGTGTCAAAAACAATTCCGAAATAACGAAATCCAGTGTTTTGTTTTTCACATCAGTTGAAATTATGCAATATTTTGTAAGTTTTATAAGATTTCTTGGCAAAATATTTTGCCGTCGAAAGATTCTCAGATTTTGTGCTAATAATTTCAACTCATTCAGGCAAAAAAGAGCTAAATATTTTAGTGTCATTATCAAGGACTCCTTTGACGTTGCCTTCATTGAAACAGGATTTATAAATCTCTGAGAGTAGTGTTTTTTTTCGCATGATAATTACTCCGTGAATTTCGTTATTCAGAAGGTGAAGAA